GAAAACAGTTTCAATTCTCTATAACCTTGCTATTACTAATATTGTTGACATGTATTATTAAACTTCAAAATTTTGAGATTATTATACATTCACACATATTTTTAAAAATTAAGGCAGGTCATATGTATCCTTTACTCAGTTTACTCCAGTGGCATAAAACTATAGTACAATATCACAACCAGGATATTGACGCTGACTCAGTCAAGGCATGGAACATCTCTATCACCACAAGGGTGCTTTCTGTTGTCCTTTTGTAGCCATATTAATTTCCTCTCTGCTCCCATCCCCCCCTTCATCCCTGGGAACTATTAATCTGTCCTTCATCATTATAATTTTGCAATTTCATATATGTTGTATAAATGACCTTTGGGGACTGACGTTTTAAACTCAGCATTCTGCTATATTTTGTGTCTTGCCAAATTTAAGAAGTTTTTGGCTTTTACTTCTTTGATACTTTTTCAGTCCTACCCGTTTTCTTTTTTAGTACTATGATGAAAGGAATGATAGATATTTTGTTAGAGTCCTGCAATTCCCTGAGGCATGGTTCATTTTTTGTAAAAATCATTCTATTTCCCCTTTGTTATTTAGATTAAGTAATTTCTTTTGTTCTATCTTCCAGTTCACTAATAATTTTCTCTATCCCTTCCATTTTGCTACTGAGCCCATCTGGTGGACTTTTTATTTCAGCTATATTTTTAAGTTCTAAAATTTCCATTTTAAATCTTGGTTCTTTTTTATGTATTTTACTTCTTTACTTAGACTTTCTATTTCCTCCTGAAGCTTTCTGTTTTTTCATTTGTTTCAATCATGTTTGTAGTTGTCCTTCGAAACATTTTCATCATGGCTGCTTTCATATCTTTATTAGGTAATTTTACCATGACTTTCAGTTCAGGGTTGGCACCTATTGATTGTCTCTTTAAAATTCTGTTTGAGATCTTCTTGGTTCTGAGTATATTGAGTGCATTTTTTAATTGAAATCTGAACATTTAAGTATTGTGTTTGAAACTCTGGATCTTATTTAAAATTTTTGTTTTATCTCCTTTCTCTGATGCCACTCCAGCAGGGGAAGGGGAACACCACCTCACTACCTGGTAGAGATAGAATCCAGTGTCCCCATTCAGCCTCATTGACATCAGAGGGCAGGGAGGATCATCAAACTGCCAGGTGGGGGTTGGACTTCTGGGTCCTTATGTACAGATGAGTCTTGAAAAACATGAGGGTTTGGGGCACCAACCCCCATGCATTCAAAAATTTGTATACAACTTTTGGCTCCCCCAAAACTTAACTACTGATAACCTACTGTTGACCAGAAGCCTTACTGATAGCATAAACAGTCAATTAACACATATTTTGTATGTTATATGGATTATACACCATGTTCTTACAATAAAGCAAGCTAGAGAAAAGTAAATGATATTAAGAGAATCATAAGGAAGAAAAAATATGTTTACAGTACCATACTGTATATAGCAGTTCTGTAAGTTTATGTAGTCTGTTTACAAGATGAATCATCTGTCTGAAATTGCAGGCAACTGCAACTACAGCTGCAGCTTGCAGCTTAATGTCAAACAATTAAGTTTTTTCTTGTAAGGTCTGCTTCTTGGGAGCACATCCAACATCACTAGTGGAATTTTGCATGGATCCCATGGTGTTATTCAAGGTTTACACTATTGCACTAAACAGTGAAAAGTATGTGAGAACTGTGACAGATGACTTTTACTACAATGGACAAGGGGCTGGAGAGATGAACTGCTCATGTGGAGATAATTAGCATTGCATTTTAAGTCGATATTCACAAACTTGAGCTCACTGTAATAACAACAGAAAGTGGCTACAAAATTATTACAGTAGTACAGTATGTACTATAGTTAATTTTATGCAGTTGTGATTTAATACTGCATCTTTAAGTTTGTGTGCATTTCTCCAGACTCCAAGTGCCACCACATATGGTCTGTGTTTGTGTGCTTAAGTTTTAATACATTTAAAATTTTTATAATAAATTTGTGTATGTTTTATGGTAGTAAGTGATAAGGTAGACTAGTATTTACATGCATTTTACATATTCATGACATATCTTTTTCTTAATTTTATTGATATTTTTAGACTACATTGTGTGTTTGCAAGTTTTTTCAACTTGTTGCAAATCTCCAAAAATTTTTCCAATATATTTGTTGAAAAAAAGTTCGCATATAGGTGGACCCATACAGTCCAAACTTGTTCAAGGGTCAACTGCAGTCTCCACTGTAATTTATTCTTCTTTCTTTATGATTAGGGTTTTTTGTGTACTTTAAAAAATACTGTTGTCCACTTCTAATATAATACAGTTGTTCTCCTGTGTCTTCTTTTAAAACTTTACAGCTTCACTCTTTACATTTAGGTTTCTGACTCATCTGGAATATGTGTGTGTGTGTCTGTGTCTGTGTCTGTGTGTGTGTGTTTATATATATAATTAAACAGTTACTTTGGCATTTATATTGAAAAGACCATTTCTTCCCCCACTGAATTGCATTGGCACCTTTGGAGAAAATCAAGTCATTACATATGTGTTCATCTACTTCCGGACATGATTCTGTTAAATTGTCTTTTTAACAATTCTCGTACCAATAGGACATTTTCTCTTAATTACTGAGGTTTCACATAAGTCTTGAAATCTGGAAATGCAATTCCTCCAGCTATCACCCACCTTTTTTTTCAAGGTTATCTCACTTGTTATAGGATTTAAATTTCCATAGAAATTGCAAAACAGATTATCAAACTTCTACCACAACAAGTTTCTGGTAATTTGATTCAGATTTGCTGAGTTTTATGATAAGGTTGAGAAAACTGATAATTTAACATATGTATTCCTTAGATTTATAAATATAGCCCTCCATTTATTTAGGTCCTCCTTAATTCCTTTTATTAATGTTTTATAATTTTCATTTTAATGAACTTTCATATCCTTAATTAAATTCATTCATTTGCTTATTTCATTGTAAATGGCATTTTTATTTTATTTTCCAATTGCTTTTAGCTAGAATCTAGAAATAGAATGGAATTTTTTATTCAATGACTGTAAATTCATCCATTAGTTCTAGTAGTTTCTTTACAGATTCTTTTAAATTTTCTATATTCAAATTATGTTATCTATGAAGAAGTAGTTTTACTTATTCCTTTCCCGACTTTATGCATTTTATTTTTTTCCTGACTTGATGCCAGTTATTACAATGTGATAATAAATGGAAGTGTGACAATGTATCTTCTTCCTAAACTCAGAGAAACAATGTTCAGTATTTTACCATTAATTACAATGTTAGCCTTGGATATTTTTATAGATACTCTTTATCAGATTAAGGAATCTTTTCTACATGTCTAGATTGTTGGGAGTATTCATCATGTGAGGGTATTGGCCTTATATCAGATTCTCGTGTGTGTGTAAGTTTTGACAAATTTAAAATTTTAATAATAGATTTGTGTATATTTTATGGTGGTAAATGATAAAGAAGTTTAAAATAGGTTGAACGCATTATTTTGGTTTTTCATCAAGCAAAGGAGGAGAAAATCTTACCTGTTATGATCTTAGAGATCATATAATCTTCTAAAATGTAAAATACTCTGCAAATACTCAATAGCTTGGACAAATATATTTTTTATTCTTTAGAGCTATGCAAAATACTTAATGATTTTCAATACCATTAAAAATATCACCTGTCAGTAGCCTCAATTGTCTGCCAAAAAATAAAGGTGATCAAACCAAAAGCAAAAAAAGGAAATTGTATTAATTACTTTTCTTCTCCCTTTGTTAATATAACAACATGATATAGTCCTCCCTACTTTAAGTAATTATCTATTTCTTCTTATATTTTCGGCAGTACTGTCCTGTTAACTTACATCTTTATGAACTGGTACAGAGTGGGCTCTTAGTGAATATTTTTTAAATGAATGGAATATTATTACTAAGACTTTTACTCCATATCTTTGTAGCTTGATTTTTCACACCCATGTTGGGGAAATTTATTGTCTATCGTTGAATTTTTGCCTACAATTCTGACCCTATGTTTACCCCATTGTAGTCTTTGGTTCAAAATGTATTCCAGATAACTGAAAGAGTGCATATAGAATAATTTAAAGATTTGCTCAGCATAAGTTCAGTAAATTTGTCAATTATGACTCATCTATGCATTCACGAAACAAGTAATTATTGAGTGCTTATTCCGTGCCAATATCTCTTATAAGCATTGAATCGTATGGGCTTTTGAACCAGCCTTTAATTATGGGATGATTAGAAACAAAAGAGAAATGAACTCCACCTCAGCAATTAAAAATTATAATGGGAATATTATTGAAATAACAAAGTAACTTAAAAAATAGTTAAAACCTTTCTTGGAGTGTTAGAGGACTGATAAAACAAAGATGAGTACAGAGGTATTAAAACTAAGTATCTACGTTCAAACCTGATAAAAGAGTCAGAAGATTGCTGGCTGACTTTTTGCCTGATGATAGCTACACAGTTCATTCATTCAGTCAGTCACAAGAGGGGGCTGCTTCACCTTAAAACTTAGGTTTCTTTCTTGGAGAGGGGACACTAAGCTTATGTTTTCCACTCAAGTTCCACAGAAAACAGGAAACAAAGATACACTTTTATCCTCTTTACACAAATTATACTTTATGATCTCTTATTAAGTGTGTTATGGCTTCAAAAGTTCCGGGACCCTTACACCGATGTACTAAGTCTTCTCAGAGCACCTCCCTTAACACTGCTTTCTCCAAGTTTCACTTCCCTAATCATTTCCTACCTCCCCCATTCCCTACACCTTTTTCTTCCTTTCCTTATTGTTACCACCCCCGGCCCCAACCTTGTTTGCTTTTCCTGGTCTCTTTTCCCTCTGCCTCAGTGTCCTTGGTGCACACAGTAGCCATAAGCATGAGCATAGAAATTAGGAAATGAACTTTAAGGCCAGAGAGTTTAAGGCGGATGAGAGCCAGCACCATTTATGTCATTAGTCACTATATCAAGAACAGATGCACTGAGAAATGTCTACTTAGACAACAGTCAATACATGATTCCAGGGACCTCTGTAGAAAACCCGAGTTTTGGGAGATTTAGCTTTCAGTGTCAATGTTATTAATGCTTATTTTCCCCCTGAGCACATCACTTCCTACTTTGAACCTCACTCCCATTTTCTAGAATGTAGATGGGAACTTTAATCTCCTTACAACACAGAGCTCAGTATAGGCTTCTGGGATTTAATGACACTTTCCACAAGCTCCGTGGAGCAGAGGACAATTTATCTGGTACATTGAGGAAAGAATGATGGAAGAAAAGGTCTGGATAGATACATCCTTATGATCAATTTTCCTGATTCAGTGCCAGCCTTTTAGACTTTAAACCTCATAAATGATTTCAGTAGACACCCCCTGAGTTGAGGATGTCTGGTTGATATCCTCACTGTCTTCTCAGGAACGTGGCTAAACCAGGAGAGGAAGAACAGAAAAGCAACTGCTCTATCATTGGCTGACAAGATCCTGACAACAACACAATGAGAGCTGCACTCCTTGCAAGTCTTTACCAGTAGCTGTTGCTTCTGTTCTCTGGAAATTCTTTAAACCTAGAATCAGACACAAAAACTGAACTCTGGGTCCACAATCCTCATTTGTCCTTGAAGTATGAGACTGGTGGCAAGAGTAACTGTGTTTCTGACCTTTGGTAAGTGCTCTGGGTCTACCTAGGGAGGGCTTCGGAGGACAAGGGACCCCGAAGGGTGGTTTGCCCTCTATGCTCCCTGTGCTTTCCCAGCATACTAGATATAATTGAGAACCGTTCTGTGCATTTGTCTAGGAAGTACATACATCTACATACCAGGCTAGATCACAACCATAATCCCAGAAGAGCCCTTGGCAGTATTCGATTGTATGAAATCTATGGGTTTATTAAGTCAAGAGCCCATGGAATACAGCCTAGAGAGTCTATTATTATTGGCATGTATCTTTGGTCTTTATAATAAAACCAATGCTATTTTTTGTGTTCTCGCAGGACATAAAAGTTTTGGAGCTTTAAGGGAGTGTTGTATCCTTGATCCACAGAATTATCTTGGTTTGAGAGTCAGAAGCTAATCTGATTTTCTTGACCCCTTAGGGACTATAATTGATGCTAAGACGACCCAACCCACCTCCATGGATTGTGCTGAAGGAAGAGCTGCAAACCTGCCTTGTAATCACTCTACCATCGGTGGAAATGAGTACATACATTGGTATCGACAGATTCACTCCGAGGGGGCCACAGTATGTCATTCATGGTCTAAAAAACAATGAGACCAATGCAATGGCCTCTCTGATCATCACAGAAGACAGAAAGTCCAGCACCTTGATCCTGCCCCACGCGACGCTGAGAGACACTGCTGTGTACTATTGCATCGTGAGAGTCGCACATTGGGACACATGGGGCTGCACCTGTGCAATATCTCCCTGGTGGCAAGTGAGGAGGAGGGTAGCATTCATCTAGAGCAAAATGTCGATAGGAGTCAAAAAGTAACAAGAAAAGAGGAAAAGGAAGGGAAGGAGAGAAGGAAAGTAAATAAGGGAGATAGGATGAAGGGTAAAAAGATAGGAATAAGAACTATATTTGTTGATGTGGCTGAGAAATATGATAAAGGGGCTATAATTTGAACATAGCAATAAAGTGAAGAGGGTTAAGAATTTTCATGACTCCTCTTCATGTCAAAAAAATGTTCATTTCAGTTTGTTAGTAAAAGTGAACGGATAAGGAAAATCAAGATAAGTCTGCTCGTCCCAAGGCTTTTTTCCTCTGGATCCAGGGGCAAGTTCAAGCTTCAAAATGCATGCTGTTATAGTTGATCCAATTACCAGGAACAAGTTGATTTTTCTGCAAGAAAAATCTGAAATGTTCCTTCTTACTAGTGCAGTAACACTAGTTACTAGAGCATGCATATTTGTGATGAAGGTTTTTCTTTTTGGAAAGAAACAAAAATCAAATGAATATTAATTTATTTTTATTTTTCTTGAAGTCTTGAATCTATAAACGGACCTCATCATGTTTTATTTCCTAAGCAGCACACAAATCCATCTCACCATATAAGACTCAGGTAAAGCAAAGGCGAAAGACCTACCTGCATTTCCTCATTCTTCCCTGTCTCACACCACTCTTCTCAAAGAACACTGGCTTTGACACTTTAAGGTATATCATGATAGCCTGTTTAATTTCAGTTATATATCATTACATATAATTTTATGCAGTCACACACAAACTTACATATATACACACAGTTTTGTCATGTAAATTGGCTTTATTAGATTTTTTAACTTGCCATTTATTTTTCATTTAATAAAGTATCCTAGAGACCTTTCTATATCAGTAGAGAAGTTCACTTTATTCTTTTTGGTGCTTATTTAGTACTTTGAGACATTCCATCATATAATTGCTTTTGTATTGATGTGTATTTGCTTCTATTGCCTCACTATCATAAAGAATATTGTGTTCTACTTCTTTATAGATTCACCTTAGTTTGTGTGTGTGTGGAAGTGTTTATTTTAATGAGATTTCTGAAACTGAAATTGCTATGTCAAAAGGAAGGTGCATTTAAAATTTTTGGAAAAAGTGGCAATTTACCCTCCAAATGATATAACTACACTCCATATAATACATATATACGTATTATTATACACATAATTATCTATCATAATTATCATATAATTAATAAATATAATACATATAATGTGTTAAATAGCTTCCAACCAACAGTAGGTGAAAGAACTCATTTTACATTCTTATAAAAATTGAGAATTACTGACAGTTTTTATTTTTATTTTATTGTATTATTCTATTTATTTATTTTGATTCCAGGTCTCACTCTGTCACCCAGGCTGGAGTGCAGTGGCCGGATCTCAGCTCACTGCAACCAAGCTCAAGCAATCCTCCCACCTCAGCCTCCCAAGTAGCTGGGACTACAGGCACACACCACCACTCCTGGCTACTTTTTGTAGAGACAGAGTCTTGCCATGCTGTTCAGTCTGGTCTCAAAACTCCTGAGCTCAAGAAATCTGCCAGCCTTGGCCTCCCAGAGTGCTGGGATTGTAGGCATCAGTCACCACACCCAGCCCAGTTTTTAATAATCCAAAGATATATTATCTTTGGTCATTTTCCTGATTCATAGTGTTTTGAGCAACTTTTTTCTACATGTATTGGCACTTTTTCAATTGGCAATATGCTTATTCCTACCTTTTGAACATTTTTCTATTTAGTTGTTTTCCTTTCTCTTTTTATTCGTAAGAATTAGCTTCATACCTTAAATAATACATTATTTTATATTTGTTTGAATATTTTATTCTAACATTACGTTTTTTTGTGTGTATTTTTAATGCAGTTTTAAATTTTTACATAGTTTATCAAGTATTCCTTTCCTTTAGGCCTTGAAGGTCAATATCTTTATAGGAAATTCCTAAGTATATTACATATTTTAATATTCATTACCATTTGGTTGAGAATTATTTTGAGATGCATGTTACAGATTAGAAAACTGAGTCTCAAAAAAATTTTAAAACCTGCTAATATTCACAGTATTAATAAGTTAGCATCAATTTTTAATTTATTTTTAAACCTGAGATTGTCAAACACTAAAATCTGAACACACATTGTTTAACCTCGTCTTACTGGAAGCAGTCACAAGAAGAAAACTCCAAAATAATGAATCAAATAAAGCATCAGTGGAATGGATTATAGTTACCATCCAAGACACATGTTAGAGCAAAAGGTCAGGAACGTTAGGGTAAAAATTGTGAGCTATGAGTTGAGAAAATCAATGGTCCTTAGTCACATAGAAAGGTAATTCTAGTCCCCTAAACATTCAAATAGCAGTCAAAATGTGTGTTTTGATTGTAGAAGAACTCTAACACATCTTCCGCTCTTTATTAGCCATACATTTCCCAAGCAGAATGGATATTGAAGAAATTAGAACATAAAGCAAAGGAAGTAGGAAAGAGGAGTTTGTTGCTGGATCTGAGTGGCTTCCTAGTATTCTTGGAAACTTCACACAGATTGAGGAATTGTTCTGGTCCATAGAATGGATAGATAAATGTAAATTACTATGATGATCATACTTGGAAATTGCTTTGATTCCATGAGTGAAAGATAATGGAACAGATATCTACACACAAATCTTAGAAAGTGCAATTGAGATGTGCTGGTAGCAGTTTCCAAAGATTGACATATCACTTTCAAGGTCCTTACAGTCACTTTATTCACAATCCTTTTCTCTTTCTCACAGTCTTTAATCTCATTTACCTTTTGCTTAACACCATCCTGTACTCTCCTATATTTGAACACACGAAAGTTTGAAGCCTGTATTTTTGGTTTTTATTCACTGAAGTATCCTCTGTATCTAGGACACTGCCTGGCAAATAGTAAGTACTCAGAAAATATTTACTGAACAAATATATTTATTTATAACTGGAAAATTTTACTGGCAAATGCTAAGGATACAATAAAATACTAGAGACATGAGTCAGATTCGCTATGAGGATTTTACTGGCAAATACTAAGGATACAATACAATACTAGGGACATGAGTTAGATTTGCTATGAGGATACAATAAAAACAAAAAAAAATACACTGGCCTTATATTAATTACAAAGTGATCTGTGAACTAAAACTAAAAATTTAAGTGTTTTTATCCTAGTTTTCCTTTCTTGTTCCCAGGCTATTATATGAATAAGAGTACATCCGTTAAACACAGATGTACGACTACAGATTTTAGGCATTCTCCTGCATCTAAAACACCTTGGCTTTAGAGGCATCGACAGCATACTCTTTGTCCCCTGGTACAATCCAGGCTATTAGCTTTGAGGCCCATTCCTTTTGTTCTACTGCTCTTCCTCTAGTCACTACCATCCTCATAAACAGCAAACAGCCCTCCTCACATTGAAAGATGTGACACAGATTCCACTGTAACCTAAATACCACATGACTTAAATATCCACCTGAGCCATTCAGTGAGAAGCCCGAACTCATCAACTTTAAAGACCATTAATTTGAATCCCCTTTAGTCATTAACTTCCATAGCCACAATCTAGACAGGTCTTATGACAATGTGCTGTTCCACCTCTGAAATCTTACCTGCAGTCTAAAACCTCCCACCCTGAGATTCTCACCCTCAGTTACTCACATTGTACTTGTTCTTTGACTATACTGGTCATCTAGTCCCTTGACACCTTTCTCTTCTTTTTCTTTTTTTATTTAACTTTTGTTTGAAGTTCAGGGGTATGGAACTTAAAATAGGTTTGTTATACAGGTAAACTTGTGCAGATTTGTTATATAGGTAATTCTGTGTCATGGGAGTTTGTGTACAGATTATTTTGTCACCCAGGTGTTAAACTTAGTACCCATTTGATATTTTTCCTGATCCTATCCCTACTCCCACCCTCCACCCTCAAGTAGGCCCCAGTGTGTGTTTTTCCCTCTTTGTCTCCATGGGTTCTTATTATTTCATTCCCACTTATAAGTGAGAATGTGCAGTATTTGGTTTTCTGTTCCTGAGTTAGTCTGCCGAGAATAATGGCCTCCAGCTCCACCCATGTTCCAGTAAAGGACATAATCTCATTTCTTTTTATGGTTGCATAGGATTCCATGGTGTATGTATACCACATTTTCTTTATCCAGTCTTTGATGTGCGTTTAGGTTGATTCCACGTCTTTGCTATTGTGAACAGTGCTGCAGTGAACATACACGAGCATGCGTCTTTATGATAGAATGATTTATATTCCTTTGGGTATACACTCAGAAATGGTATTGCTGGGTCAAATGGTATTTCTGTTTTTCGATCTTCGAGGAATTGGCATACTGTCTTCCACAATGGTTGAACCTAATTTACACTCCCACCAACAGTATATAAGTGTTCCTTTTTCTCTGCAATTTTGCTAGCATCTGTTATTTTTTGACTTTTTACTAATAGCCATTCTGACTGGTGTGAGATGGAATCCCATTGTGGCTTTAATTTGCATTTCTCTAACTATCAGTGAAGTTGAGCTTTTTTTCATATTATTGTTGGTTGCATGTATGTCTTATACAAACTTCTTTTGAAAAGTGTCTGTTCATGTCCTTTGCTCACTTTTTGTTAGGGTTTTTTCTTCTTGTAAATTTGTTTCAGTTCCTTGTAGATGCTGAATATTAGACTTTTGTCTGATGCATAGTTTGCAAAAATTTTCTTCCATTCTGTAGATTGTCTGTTCACTCTGTAGATAGTTTCTTTTGCTGTTTAGACGCTCTTTAGTTTAATTAGATCCTATCTGTAAATTTCTGCTTTTGTGGCAATTGCCTTTGGTATCTTTGTCATGAAATTTTTGCCCCTTTCTATGTCCAGAATGGTATTGCTAGGTTGTCTTCCCAGGTTTTTATAGCTTTGGGTTTTACATTTAAGTCTTTAATCCATCTTGACTTAATTTTTGTAGATGGTGTAGGGAAGGGGTGCCATTTCAATCTTCTGCATTTATCTAGTCAGTTATCCCAACACCATTTGTTGAATAGGGAATCCTTTCCCCGTTACTTGTTTTTGTCAGCTTTGTCAAAGATCAGATAGTTATAGATGGGCAGTCTTATTCCTGAGTTACCTATTCTGTTCCTTTGGTCTATGTATATGTTTTTGTACCAGTGCCATGCTGTTTTGGTTACTGTAAACTTGTAGTATAGTTTGAAGTGGGGCATGTGATGCCTCCAGCTTTGTTCCCCTTTATTTTCAACTTATTTCTCAGAAGCTTCTTATCTTTTATTTTCTTACCTATAATGCTTAGATTCTATGACCTGTTGCTTTCAATCTTTAGTCATTAACTCTTTTTTTCTCATGCCAATTCTGCATCATAGCAGTGATCTAATTAATTCCCAATCATGAATCCATATCTTCCTTATTACCATGCATATCTTGTCTGATCAGAGTACACAGGTGTGCAGATTGGTGTCATTAAAACATGTTGTTACCAGCCAGGAGCAGTGACTCACACCTGCAATCCCAACACTTTGGGAGGCCAAGGTGGGCAGATCACTTGAGGCCAGGAGTTTGAGACCAGCCCGACCAACACAACAAAACCCCATCTCTACTAAAACTACAAAAAATTAGCCGGGCATGGTGGCACACACCTGTAATCCCAGCTATTCGGGAGGCTGAGGCAGGAGAATTACTTGAACCCGGAAGACAGAGGTCGCAGTGAGCCGAGATCATGCCACTGCACTCCAGGCTAGGCAACAGAGTGTGACTGTGTCTCTAATAATAAAAACAATAAATAAATAAATGTTGTTATTTTCAACACTAACTAGGCCCACAATGTTTCCAGGAAAGTATTCTTCTTCTCTGTAATCACATCTCACTGCCATTTTCTACTGGGCTATTTCAAAACTTCTCACATACCTCAGACTTCCTAACCCAGATCCTCCTCCATTCACTCTCTTGGGAGACATTTAATCTCTGTTTATAACAAGAAAAAAGATCCTATTAGAAGGTAGTAGGTGTTTCACATTTCTACCTTCACACTCCAAAGAATCACTTAAATCTAACTACTGTAATCCTTTTCTCCTTCATTTCAATAAAATTGAAAATAACTGTTTTTCCTCCTACCAAAACTTTGTTCTTCTACCTGTAATCCATATTCCAATCCCATCTGTCTCCTCAGAATTTTGATCCACTGTTTATACATTCTTTCCAAAAGCATGTAAATACACCCCAATTTTTATACACCCTACCATTACCACTTAAACATCCTCATCCAGTTTAACACCATGACTCTTTTCTCCTCTGCAGATGATCCAGCAATCTCTAGAAGGAGATTTCTATATTCAAATTTTTTCTTCCTTGTCTCATCACAATGCCTCTTCCCACTGCATCTGACCTTTTGCTGCAAAGATCAAAATCATGATTTTTGTGTTGTTAAAAAAATCAATAGTTCAATAGCACAGTATGGTGACTATAGTTATCAATAATTTATTGTATATTTCAAAATAGTTACATTTGGAATGTTGTCAACACAAGGAAATAGTAAATGTTTGAAACGATGGCTAACCCAATTACCATGATTTGATAATTACACGTTGTATGTATGTGTCAAAATGTAACATGTACTTCATAAATATGTACAATTATTATGCACCATTAAAAAATCAATAGACATTAAAAAGTTATCATCTTATAGGCATTTATTTACCACTCACTCTGTTAGCCATTCATTTCTTTTTAGAATTCCTTTTTCCTTCTCTTTAAGAAATCCAGCCATTTCTGATTTGCCACTTACCTCCCTGGATACCCTTTAGGTTTCCTTTTTCTTTCTTTCTTTCTTTTTTTGAGACAGAGTCTCACTCTGTCACCCAGGCCGGAGTACAGTGGCATGATGTCAGCTCACTACAACCTCTGCCTCCCAGATTCAAGTGATTCTCATGTCCCAGCCTCCCAAGTAGCTGAGACTACAGGCACAAGCCACCAGGCCCGGCTAATTATTTGTATTTTTAGTAGAGATGGGATTTCACCATGTTGACCAGGGTGGTCTTGACTTCCTGGCCTCAGGTGATCCGCCCTCCTCTGCCTCCTAAAGTGCTGGAATTACAGGCGTGAGCCACTGTGCCCAGCTTCGAGGTTTCTTTAGTACTTTTTCCACCATCTATACCTTCAGTGTTTGGGTTCCTTGAGTATTTTTTTAAGTCCCTATTCTCTTCTAAATTTTGCTCTAAGCATGTGTCTTGGTAAAATTGCATCTAGTCTCATAGGGTAGTGCTACGTCACAGATAACATAGTGGGCAAGGAACTGAGCTTGGAGTGGAAAAGAATTGGATTCCAATCCTTGTGTGTCCTTGGGCAAATTATTTAACTTCATAAAGACTTGATTTCCTGTCTGTTCAGTATAAATAAGATCTACTATAAAGGGCTATAGTGTAAAATATGCAATAGTTATCAGTGATCAATAATGTGGATTATTAAATCATACTGATGAGACAAACTCCAATTCTGTTGAGATAGCAGATCAGCAGGACTTGTTTTCTGAGCACTGGAACAAAGCAGAAGCTGATCAACACAGGATGCACCAAAGAGAGCGGCCAAAACCGGCTAAAACCAAGATGGAGATGAAAGTGACCTCTCATTGGCCCCACTGCTCATTATACACTTATTATAATACATTTGCATGTTAAATGAAACTCCCACCACTACCATCACAGTTTACAAATGCCATGACAACCCCCAGAAGTTACCTTATACAGCTTAAAAGGGGAGGAATACTCAGTTCAGGGCTCTTTTTCCAGGTAATTCATGAATTTATTTATTATTTAGCATATAATCAAAGAATAGCCATATATATATCTATCCAACAATCCACAAGGGCTGTCACTGCTGCTGCTATTACTCTGTCTATGGAGCAACCACTTTTCTGTGCTCTGTAGCTCCAATAAACTTAGCTTCACTTTGCTCTGTCAGTTCACTCATGAATTCTTTCCTGTGTGAAGCCAGGAAACCTGTTGGGCTGGTTTTGGAGATCACCTACATCACTATCACTTACTATGATCTTGGACAAATGGAATCTTTTCTTCCATGCTTTAGTTTCCCCGTTTGTAAAACGAGGATGATAATACTACTTAATTCATAGGATTAAATAATATTATTTACTTGATAAGATTAAAATAGCTTCCTCATAAGCAGACCCCGGAAAACACCGTCATCAGATTATTCTGCTAAGAAATTTAAACCAAGGAAATGGAGCACAAACCCTAAAGACTCAGTGTGTTTCCGTGTTTGACCTCCAGAGGGCAATGTTTCATAGACTGGAAATGTCTCTGCTAAGAAGAGTTCTGTCTTTCCTGAGCGGCTTTATCTGACAGCTCACTGAGGTGCACATTCTGAGTAGGATCAACACCAGAGGGGTTGTTGTCAAGAGAGAAGCTCTTACTAGTGGTCTCTAGGCCTTACTAAACAGGAAACTCTTGAATCCTAGATTTTCCCCATTATAAGGACTCACCATCCTCTGGCACATTCCTTCCCACTCAGGAGATCTTCTAGAATAGAGCTCTCAGCCTCCTCACTGCCTAGCCATGCTCTTAGTGGTCATTCTACTGCTTGGAATGTTCTTCACACTGAGTAAGTATAATAATATTGTTTCCCTGCTCCCGTCTCCATACAAGGCACATTGTTCCAATCGGAATCTAAATAGAGACTCTGTCTCACTACAGGTAGATCTGTTCTGGTCTCACTAACAGAGTGTTGATGTTGCAGGAGGAACCAGAGCCCAGTCGGTGACCCAGCTTGATGGCCACATCATTGTCTCTGAAAGAGACCCTCTGGAACTGAAGTGCAACTATTCCTATAGTGGAATTCCTTCTCTCTTCTGGTATGTCCAATACCCCAGCCAAAGCCTTGAGCTTCTCCTCAAGGACCTATCAGGGGCCACCCAGGTTAAAGGCATCAAAGGTTTTGAGGCTGAATTTAAGAAGAGCGAAACCTCCTTCTACCTGAGGAAGCCATCAGCCCATGTGAGCGATGCTGCTGAGTACTTCTGTGCTGTGAGTGACACAGTGCCTGGGACTACAGAAGGAGCTGAACACAAACTTCCTGAGACACTGAGGTCTTCAGCAACTCAAGGGCACAACCTGACCTGTTTGTAGCAAGCTCTCTTTTGATGAAAGTGAGAAAGGTGGAAGAACAAGCCATGAGGAGTGCTTGACTCCAGGGAAGAAACAGAGACTTCAACACGTTCCTTCTTTTACTACTGGGTTACATCAGACAAGACCTAGAAGAGACAGACTTGTATGACTATCCTCCTTCTGCTTGGAAATATCGCATTGAAGAGGGTCCGGATTTTAAATTAGTGTGACCAGTACTGGACTCCTGATCTTTCTCCTTCTCACTGCCAACATGCTGCTTCTATTACCTTTTGTTATTCAATCGACAGCATCTCATTCTTTCAGAATCTCTGCCCATAGCCTCAGAGTTATCTTTGACTCTTATTTTTTCTTTCACTATTCACGTCGAATCCATCAAGAAATTCAGTTGGTCCTAACTAAAAGATTGACCTAAAGTTTGACCACTGCTATCTCTTTGGTCAAGCCACCCTCATCTCAATGAATTACTGTAAAAGCCTTCTAAATGGTTTCCCTGCTCGTCCTCCTACAGAACATTCTTAATACAGCAGCCAATGAGAGCTTTGAAATATAGATAGGTCACTCATCTGCTCGAATCATTGCAATAGCTCCCCATTTCTCTTAGAGTAACATCAAAGTACTTACAGTGACCTGTAAGAATGCATGATCTATCTCTCGTTACGTTTTAAAAACACCAACAGAAAAATAACTTTGTCAACCCCGAATTGTATACCATTAAAAATATCACAAAGTAATTATAATAAAATAAAAACATTCTCAAATGGAAAACTGAGAGAATTCATTGTGAGCAGACCTGCTATAAAGAAGTCCTAAAGGAAGTTATTCAGGCTGAAGGGAAAGGATACCAGAGGAAAATCTGTAACTTCAAATACAAAGGAAGTACAACAGAAATGGTAAACGTGTGATAAGATACAAGAAACTAGTTTTCATTTCTCTTTTACAATCAGCTTTATTGAGTTATAATTTATATACAAAAACTATACATATTTAATATATGCAATTTGATGAGTTTTTACATATGCATACAACCATGAAATGATCATCACAATCAAGGCAATAGACATGTTTGCCACCTCTAAAAGTTTCCTTGTGACTCTTTGTTTTTGTTGTTATTGCTGCTGTTGTTGTTGTAAGAAAAATTACCATGAGATTTACCAACAATAAATTTCTCTGTGCCCAAGCCTGTATTGTTAACTATGGGCACTATGTTGTATAGCAGACCTTTAGAGCTTATTTTTACATAACTAAAACTTTAAAACCATTGAACAACAACTCCCAATTTCTCCCTCCCCTAAATTCCTGGAAACCATTATTTTATTCTCTGCTTCTATGAATTTGACTATTTTAGATACCTCAAATAAGTGTAATCATGCATTATTTGTCCATTTGTGACTGGGTTATTTCACCTAGCATACTCTCCTTCAAGTTCAATCATGTTGTCATGAATGGCAGGATAGTCTTCTTTTTCAAGGCTGAGTAATATTTAATTGTATGAATATACCACAATTTATTTATTTGTCACTTAACTTTCTTTTCCATATTTTGCATATTATAAAACCACATGAAGAATAAAATTGAACACCATACACAAAAACTTACTCAAAATGAATTAAAGACTTAAGCATGATACCAGAAGGTGTGAAACTACTAGAAGAACATGTAGAGAAAAAGCTTCATAATATTGGACTTGACAATGATTTCTTGGGTATGACACCAAAGACACAGACAACAAAAGCAAAAATAAACCCATAATATTACATGAAACTAAAAAGCTTCTGTATGGCAATGGAGCAATTTATGGAAAGGGAGAAATATTTGCAAACCATATATTGATAAGTGGCTAATATACAAAATATGTAAGGAACCCTAAAACTCAGTAACAACAACAACAACAACAAATTTTTTTAATGGGCAAAAGACTCAAAAAGACATTTCTCCCACGAAGACAGACAAATAGGCCACAGGTGTATGAAAAGGTATTCAGTATCACTAATCTTCAGGGAAATGCAAATCAAAACCAAAATGAGATATCACCTTACAAATGTCAAGATGACCCTTGTTTTTTTTAAAGTTAAGTATAGGTAAGTCTGTGGCAAAACTGAAATCCTTGTGCAGTGTTGTTGGGAATGTAAAATGGTGCAGCTGCTATAGAAAACATTATGGAGGTTCCTCAAAAAATTTTAAATAGAACGACCATATAATCCAGCAGCCCCACCTCTGGGTATATATCCAAGAGAATTGAAATCAGGATCTCAAATAGATATCTGTATTTCCACGTTAATTTAAGCATTATTCACAGTAATTTCTCTTCTTAATTTATTTAAAATGCATAGACTGTTGAAATAAAATGTTATAAAATTCCCCGTTGGAGTTTTCAAAGTCTAAAGACAGAAGGCATCTGACAACTATAACATGGAGGAATGAGGGTGAAATAACCTATATACAATTTCTATTTTTTTCATGAAACAGTATAATAAATATAAACAGACTATGAAAGATTAAGTAGTAAGCATAGTAGTAATAGGCAATCCTAATAGAAACCACTAAAAACATGATGCAAAAAGAAATAGTCAAAAATCAAATAGATACATTGTAATAGAATAATAAGAGACCAAAACAAAGGGCAGAAGTGGAAAATGAATACTGAAATAATAGACTTAAATACAACCATATTAATACATGAAATGAAATGGTCTAACATTACATGAAATGTAAAGGGTCTAAACACAGATATTTAAAGACAGAAATCGTCAGTATGGATTTTTTTTTTAAAAGAAGATCCATCTACATACAAACTCACTTTAAATACAATGACAAAGATTAAAAGTAAAAGAATGGAAAAAATATCCATGAAAACACTAATCAAAAGAAATCTGGAAAGGCTATGTTAACATCAGACAAATGGGACTTCAGAAAAAGAAATATTAAAGAAATAAAGTGAAACATTACACAATTATAAAATGGTTGCTTCGCTAAAAAAATGTTTAAAGTGCTTGTACCTACCAACAGAGTTTCAAAATATTTGAAGCTAAAATTGTTATAACTAAAAGAAAAATAGAAAAAACCACTATTACACTTGGAGACTTAAACCCTTTGTGTTCAGTAAATAATAGAATAAGTATTACAGTTAGAGAATCAGCAAAGATGCAGCAGACCTGCTCAACACTATTATATTGACATTTATGGAACACTCCACTAAATGACAGAAAGCACATAAAGCCATGCTTAGAGGAAAATTTATACAGTAAACATTTACATTACAAAAAGAAAAAAGGTTCAAATCAATAATTTTATTTCCTCCTTGTGTGAGTCCCCAGTGATGATGTCCTACATAGAAAAAATAATAATCCTAGCAATCCAAGAAACTCTGTTTTTGAGTTCAGGCAAACAAGAGTATTTTCTGCTGTTACTGCACCAGGTACCCAACTGGAAAATGATATGTCTCATATTTTATGTTGCTCTCTTATGCTCAAAGATTAAAATGAGATTAATTATATTTATATCACATATCACAGTTCTGGAGGAGGTTATGAGCCTTCCTATTACAGTAATGATATCAGAAAGGGTATAAAGTAAGTTTAGTCCTTCATCTTTTAAAAAAATACCAGTTATGAAGATAGTTTGCCACGAAATGAATTCTGTTACACACATGATGAATTATATAGGACATTATAGGGTACCTTACAATACAATCTGTATATTTTCACAGTAGTTGAGATATCACTAATTATTAAATGGAACTATGCCACTATGTTTTTCCTTAGCTTTTCAAGGGATAAGCACAAGAATATTCAAGTTATGCAGTGGGTCAAGCCTAAGAACAAATACGAAAGCTGATAGAATAAAGAAAGACTCAGGCTAGGTTCTGGACTAGCTGGGACTAACATATAATAAGTCCATAAGTGCAGAATGAACTGGATGTGAGGAGTGTATAACCCTTCTCAATTACAACGTGCCCACCTTTTGCTTTATTTTTCGCTGAATGCATCTCAATATAGCAACGTAACAACACACTGACATCTCATTTAACTGTCAGAAGCATTATAGGACACAACAGAGGGAACAATCCGCTTTTCTGTGTCCTATTTGATCTTTGAGAGTATAAAAATCTGATTTTTTTCTGTGGGCAGGTATAGAGGGAGTATATGATAATTTTGTGTACTTTCTGCTCCATTTTTCTGTAAACCTAAAACTCCTCTAAAAGAGTCAATTAAACTGTCAAAAATCAATTTTAATGTAGAAGCTAAAAAGAAAAAAGAAAAATCAATCCAATGAGCTCAATCTCATAGAAAATATTTATTACAACCAGCTTGGATTATTTCCTACTTTCCTGCCTTACATACTCTCTTCAACTTTTTGCGTTGGTGCTTCTTTGGTTGTGTTTTTATTATGCAGCATGCATTATGTAAAATTGTGCATATGTTACATAATTTAATGATACTAACATGAAAGTAGAAATAACTTCTGTTAGGAAAAGCAATATAATAAGTAATTTAAGAGAATAAGTTTATGGGTTGGATAGGGTGTGTAGAACTCTCAACTCTGTCGTTATTTGAATTATAGTAGAAAAGTTAATAAATGTCTTAAATTTCAATTTTATCATCTTCTTACAGGAGATCATCATGATCACCCTATTGGAAGTTGTTCCAATTATCAAATAAGAAAATATCTTTCAAGAGCTTAGCTCAGATTCTAGCACAATGTAAACATTTAATAAATTATTATAGGTAAATAAATGGAGGCCCAGAAAACATAATGAATTCTGCTCGTAATCAGAAATCTAGTACATTATAGAAAGAACACTGAGTTTTGAAATCCTAGCTATAAAATTTAAGCCAAGTATCTTCAACTTGTGATATCACTAATCTATCCTCTTGAATACATTTACTGGGAGTAAAAGATGAGCAGAATAGAGAAAAGTAGAGGGAAAGAGAGAAACCAGGGGAAGCACTTTGAAACCACCAAACACATATTATCTCTTCAAGTATTCAGTCACACAGATA